TGGGCTTATAAGAGTTTACCAGCCTGACCTCTTTGGTATCGCAGCTTCTGTCACTGTGACCCTTAATCCTTTCCTCCTGTGACGGTTGTGATGACTTATCTTGGATATCGTCAGCTGTTCTGGTGAACCGACTGAAAGGATTCAGTCTTATTTGTCATGCGCAGATGGCATCTTGTAGTCTCCAAAAGTCATCATTTAGCCATTGAACTGAGGACGGGTCCTAACTTAGGGAACTTCAGGCCACCAGGAATCTCTCTGAGAGTAGGGACCTTGATGTCGTACCCCATCTTTTTTGGGTGGCAAGTAGCCATTAGCTTCTTTTGCGCTCACGACTTTTTCTGGATGCAGCTCTTAATTATTCAAGGCGCAGCCGAAGAGGAGCTCCAGAAAACTGGGACCGACAGGCCTCGTGTAGCAGCCCAAGCTGCGGCGCCTTTGAACAGGAGTCGCCTGCCAGCAGGTTGACTCTGGTTAAGGAACGAAAGTAGAGCAAAGCACAGCTGGAGCGGTTTGGTGAGGCCTAATGAATCCCGCGCCTCTGCCTATGGTTTGATGCGCGCGTCGGCGTCACGTTGCCTCGACGCGTTCCACATCTCACAAACAACGGCTCTGGTTTGGGACGTTGACTTTCAGATCTGTTGGGATGAGGGAGAAAGTTGGATCCCCGCAGTACGTTTTACATGACGCAATCCTGGTTACAAACTCTCCCTAATCACAAAAAAAAAAAAGTCTGGATCTTTTCTTTTTCACTTGAGCCTCTTCTGTGCCAAAATCTAATCTGTCCCGCTGCCTGTGAGCCCTCATCCCCTCCGGTTTGCCCTTGTTCCAGTAAAAAGCCTTTAACCCCTCCTATTAGCACACTTGGCTCCTTCCAATCTGCCTTTCAACCTCCTAATGTGTCATTTCATTTCCCCAGATATCTCCTCAATACTTTTTTTTTTCCATCTCTCGGTTGTTCCGTGGCTTCTTCGACACCACTTTCCTGTCCTTTGGTGTTCCGTCTATCCCCTGTCTGCTGATAGATGGATACAGTTTGTGGTCTGACTGATGGTTTTCTTCACCCTTCGTGGAGGAGAAAATCAGATATCTGTTGGGTCCGTGAGACTTCCGGTGAACCTGAAGTTCCTCCTTTTAGCTCCTCGCTCTGGTTTAGATTTGGCTGGCTTGAGCCGTGGTGAAACGGATTCTGCCTAGATATCATTGAGCCGACATTAAGGCCGTTTTGAGTGTAATGAATCTTCCCTTCATCTGAAATTGATACTTGCCTCTAAAATCAGCCGCTGTTAAAATTCACCAGCGGTTTGTTTGTCTGCTTCTTCTTAATCCCGTTTCTCTCAAAAGGAGAGTGTGCAGCTTATTGCAAATCATCCCTTACGCCGCGGCAGTTTTGTTATAATTTCCGTTGTAATTACAGAGCGGCGCCATGCTCCAAACAACCCCCTGTACACAAATACTGTACGAGTAATTACAAGGATGCATGGAGGCGAGCTGAGCCCAGCAAAATGGGACGCAGCCAAGCGGCATATGACTCCCTTCGTCAGAAGTTGGCCCAGAGTCCTCAAGGCCAATCTAGTGATGCAGCAAAACATGACACTGTTGTGTTTTTTTCTTCCTTTCCTGGCTTTTTTTGGGCTGGAGCTGGCAGCCTCGGTGCTTTTCGTCGCCGCTTGAATGAAACGCTCGGGCCTGCAGCTCCGTCTGCCTCCACCATTTCTATTCTCTCTCGCTCTTTTTTTCCACCGTTCTGTTCTCTGTTTCGATCTCCGTTTTCTTCAGTCTCCCTCTCTGACCCCTTTCTCTCCTCTAATCTCTAATTTCTGTCCCTCCTCCCACACTCTCTGGTCCCTTCTCCTCAACCTCTTTACGATTGATCCACTGTACTTTTTTTTTTTTTCCCTTTGGCTCCTACACACATATTCCTCCACCTCTTCCTATACATGCTCTATTCAACTCCTCCTACACTCTTTTTGTTTTCCTGTTGTTTTATCTTTGTTCCCATCTGGTTCGCTGTCCTCTCCCACTTTACCTCTGCCAGCAGCTGGCTCTCCTGTAACGCGTTTAAAGTAAACAGAGGAGAGGAGTGAAATTGGAAATATTTGCAGGGATTAAGTAAAATTAGGTCCACCTAATGATCATTTTGTTGGGTAATCTGCACATAGTGTTGGGAGTGCCTTTAAGGGAAGCCCATTTTATTCTGCACATGCAGTTCAGTGTGTTTAAAAGCTTACGGGTGTTATTAAAAAAAGGCTTCTGTATGTGACTTTGAATCTTGGGATCTAATGTGATTTCCACCGTTGTGTTAAATAATGAAATGTCCTTGCCACATTGTCAAGTGGTGGTTTTCTTTGTTATGCTATAAAAAGCATATCCAGCACAGATTTGGACATATATGCTTACTTAGGAGTATTTTTTTGTGCCCAGTGTCAAAATTCTCCTATTAACTTGAATAAACTGAAACTGTCGATAAAGTCGCCCAAAACAATGAGAAAACATTTAATATTTGTCTTGGTTTGGGAAAATGAAGCTCATGATTCCAGTTAACAAAATGTGCTACACTTCCTTCATACATTGAAATTATGATACATTTTGATAGACTTTTAGATCAATTTTTGGTTCAAGAGAACATCAGAGGTTCGAACTTTCAGTACTGTGACTGTTTCTGAGATTTATGCGGCGTTTTTTAATTTATTTATTCATTTATTTGGTTGTTTTTTTATATTTTTTTATTGCCTATGCAAAGCTTGTAAAAAGAAATGCATCTCTGCTGTGCATGCTACTGCAGGTGCATGTTCCCTCTCTACCTCTGTTGTTCCTCAGATCCCATCTAATTATCCTCAGCCCTGTTGAACCAGCTGTCACAAACCTGTTTGTAACTTTAAACGCACAAATGTAACTACACATGACAATTTTTACTGGAAGTATCGTGATGTCTCAGGTATTTTTTTTTTTACCCATTGTTTCATCGGCTAATCATTCAACTGGGGTCGGCACAACTAGCATTTTTATGCTTGCATTATGAGGAAATCTCATTAGTCGAAGCAGGAAGTAAGCAGCAATGTAAATGCATGAGATTGATAATAAGAGAGGATTAGTTCAGTGTCATTGCACAATACTACAATTCAAACTGAGCTCTGGATACTCCGCAGCGATAAAAAAAAAAAGTCTTCAGTGCAGGCGATGCGTGGCTGATCAAGGCGGCAAAGGCATGAAATATGTCGTATAGACATAAAGTCTCACCTGGGACAAATAACAGCCAGCCCAAAACTAGTTAAGTTTGTCTACTAAATGTACCCCCCACCCCACTAATAAGGGCATGTTTTTAAAGCCTTGACTTTAGCCCCCTCCACCCCCAAGAAAACTCACTAAAACCTCATTTTATTGTGGGTTCAGATTTATTCCCGTTCTTTAGCTCATATGTATCCTGTTTATCTACATCATGTCTCCTCTTTGTTTGCTAACTGAAAACCCCTGATGCACCTTTCCTTGGCTCCACTTCCTTTTCTCAGTATACTTCTTCTCCATTCTTTCCCTGTGCTCTGGCTTTTTATGTCTGCCAGGCCATGGCCTAGTTAAATTGTCCTCTGCCTTGTGCCTGTTCTCTTTTTACTTGCTTGGAAGTTTTAATCCTCCTTCTCTCTTTCTCTTCCCTCTTATCTCGGCTCCCTTCCCACGATCCCTTACTCTGTTTTTTTTTTTTTTTTTGCTCCTTTTTGCCACTGCTCCTCTTTCTCTTTTTACCACCACGTTTTCCAGGTTTTTCAACCTTTTATGTTTATTGCTCTTTTATTTCCCCACTCCTCCCATTTTGGTTCATACCTGTCGCTCCCCCGCCCCTTTTGCCCCCCCCCCATCTGTTTTTACCTCTCTGTCTCTGTTCCTTTGTGTGGATGTTAGCTGTCAGGAGAACTCATCACTGAATCTCTCTTATTACATGATTACAGGGTAATTATCCTGTGAAGTTGTCTTTGCCTGAATCTATGAAAGACACCTAATGTCTTTTTAATGGGGTTTGGAGTTTAGAGACTTTTTTTTTTCTCTTTTGTAGTTGCTTTGGACTTTAAATGTATTTCATTTATATGTGATTGGCCCGAAATAGTGTGTCCTGATTAAGTGGCACCCTTATTCTTTGAAATGTTATTTAAGTGTGGCTTTTTGCACTCAGTTGTAAGTTGGACTGCCTTCATTTTTGACTTCTGGCTCTCTGCTTTTGTAAGGCGGTTCTCTCATTTGCCGGCGTCTGATTAGACTTGACCTAACGAAGCGCCTGTGATATTTAGACGGGCACAGATACCAAAATCTCTCTCAGACACAAAAGAAGGAGCTACTTTTTTCTTTATCAACTCGCAAAGATCTCGTTTTTAATGTCAAGGTACAAATTTGCCAAATGCACATTGTTCTGAGGCACACATACACACGACATGGACCTGTAGGAAGCACAGCATCCATTTAATTTAAAGGAAAGGGACAGAATTTAATTTAATTCGTTATGTGAATTGACAAAAATGCCCCACTTCTTTAGCCTTAAAAACTCTTGGTTTGCTTAAACCATATGCTTTGGGACATTTTCTATCCGTCCTGTGAAGTGCCATCCAATCAACTTTGGACCCAAAAACTGACACCTGCACAGGAAAGCTTTCAAGTCAACTGGCCACTTACATTTGAGCCCCTTAGAAAGAGAGTCCTACATATTTGAGAACTTTCCATTCTATTCAGATGTGAATGCCAATTTTGCCAACTCAAAATGAAGCTAAAAGCCTTCATTTTTCACCAACATGCGCACCCAACTAGCACCGATGTGTTTTGATGTTCCACATAAAGTGAATGTGTGTTTTTAAGGTCCTACAGTGTGATTTTCTGGATTTTTTTGTATCCATGGTGAGAATTACAGCCCTATTTAATTTTTCTGAGTAGAAGAACTTGCACAATCAGGAGCTGGCTGTACACTTTTTTGCTCAACTGTATGTGTTATTAACCCATCATTTCTGCTTTTGCTTGTCTCTGTGCAGCTTGAGCACTGCTGCTGTCTGTGATGCCCTCCCATGACGCCCAGGTTGGTAGCTGACACTGCCAGTGAGCGGGAGACGCCACTGCACAACCGGTCCTGGGCCTGCGCCGTCAGCCGGTTCTCGCCCTCCCTCTCGCACGCTGGAGACTCCACCTCCTCTCACCTATCAGGATCCACAACCATCAGCTACAACACGCCTCAGTAAGGTGATAATCAGCAAGTTGACGTCCTCAGCCACCAGCAGCAGAGACAGCCAAAAACCGCAAAGTCGTCAACTCAGTCAGCAACACCAGCACCAACATCATCAACACCACCAACAACAGCCATCATGTCCAGTCGCAGAAAGTCATCCACCCCTTGCATGGTCCGGGTCATCAACGACCTGCCCAGTGACCAAGACGAGAAAGAGGAGGCGATGGACATGGAAACACTGGCAGACAGCATTGTGACAGAAAAAGAACAGCCAGGTTCATCCGAGTCTACAGAAGAGACTCAGCAGTCTAGTCCGGGCAATGCAGACGAACTGAAACTTCCAAAACCGTCTGAAAAACAGAGTCATGAGCCGTTAGAACAAGAAGAGCAGTCCACCAATGGGGATCAACCCCCCGTCATTGTGGATGTAGAAGGAAGAGGGGTGAAAACCAAGGAAGGAACACAATCTGAACAGGCCTCGCAGAAAAAGCAGCCGAGAGGCTACGAGTGCAAATACTGCCCATTTCTGACTCAGAACCTGAACGACTTCAAGGAGCACGTGGACTCCAGCCACCCGAACGTCATTCTGAACCCGCTGTACTTCTGTGCTGTGTGCAACTTCAACACCAAGAAGTTTGACTCGCTCACAGAGCACAATGAGAGCCAGCACCCAGGCGAAGTCAACTTCAAATTCAAGAGAATAAAAATGAACAATCAGACTATCTTAGAGCAGACAATCGAAGGCAAAGACAATTCAGCCGAATGCGAAGCGACAAATGAACAAGGTGAAACCAACAATAACTCTGTGTTCTCACCTTGCATATCTACCACGATAAAAAAACCCTGTAACGTACAATCGCTCTTTGGAGGGACTGAACTGAAAGGCCCGCTGAATGGTTTGATCCAGAAAGATCAGATTACAGCGGTAAACATCAATGGAACAGTCATCATCCCAGAACCCACCATCCTCCAAGGGCTCTCCCATGTCACCCCAATGCTCCAGCGCCCACCCAACTTTAATTCAGTACCAAAAATAGCGGTTCCCCTGAACACCACCAAATATAATCCCTCTTTAGACGACAACCTTACCCTGATCACCTCTTTTAATAAGTTTCCTTACCCGACGCACGCCGAGCTGTCGTGGCTTACAGCTGCCTCCAAGCACCCAGAAGAACAGATTAAGGTCTGGTTCACCACCCAGCGCCTGAAACAAGGCATCACCTGGTCCCCAGAGGAGGTAGAGGAAGCCAGGAAGAAGATGTTTAACGGCTCCATCCCTCCAACCCATCACACATTCACCGTCCTGCCTACAAGCCCGGTCTCGCAATCCTCAGCCAAAGCCTCCAAGCACCCTGTAGTCCACACGACAGTGGAGCATCCAGGTCGTGTCCGTTCAACAGCGTCCAATGGACTGATCGCTGTCAGCTCCACAAACTGCGGGGTGACGGTGGGCTCCAGCAGCTCCCTAAAACGATCCGTGCCAACACACCTGACATCAGTGTTCGGCCCAGAGTCAAAGCGCCCAATCATGGCAGTCGCGCCCCATTCCGGTGACCCTAAAGATAAGCTTCTAATGGCTCCTCCTCCACCTCCCCCTCCCCTGAAAGACCGCCTTCCAATGGCTCCACCCCCAGTTCCCGTTGAGATGAAAAGACCTGTAGCCGCTCAGCTGGTCAGCGCGGAAATGAAAAGGTCATCTGTTGCCGTGCCTTTAATGCCACCACCCTCGTCGTCATCGCCATCTTTGTCGTCCAAAGGGAAAATCCTGTCCGCAACAGGAAACCCCAAAACAAAGCCGGTGGTGTCTCTGCCCTCCATTGTCTTTCCAGAATCCTTAACGAGGCCCATGATAGCTCCCCCACCTATCTTTGCTCCTCCGTTTAAAAATTCTTTACTAGTCCCTCGTACGACTCACGGCGTTCCCAAAGAGAAGCAAGCCAATGCCCTCTCATTGCCGGCCTCGGATTCAAACCTGCCGAACTCTCCACCACTTATCAACTCACAGGTTAGGAGGCCACCCATCATCCAGTCTGTTCGCACTCCAGCTAAAACCCTTTCCCAGATTCAGGGATTCCTTCTGGACGGAAAGATTTTAAAGGAGCAGCATGGAATGGAGCTGAAAGCCGGCTACCCAAAGGGGGACAAGGTCGTAACTCCCCTAGCAGAGGCCAATGGGACATCTCGTACGGATGGCAAATGGTCCCAAGATCAGAGCTCCGGTCACAATAACGGTATCATAAACCTTGATGGAGGGGAGGCACCAACAGTCCAGAAATCAGACTTTCCACACAAGCCCTCTGTGCTCACTCAGTTCCCGTTGCTGGAAAGGATGAAAGGCAAAACAGCGAAACAGCTCAAAATCCTAGAGGAGAACTTTTTGCGGAACAGCTTTCCCACACACGGCGACGTGGACAATCTGTCAGTTTCTTCCGGCCTGTCTCATCAGGAAATCGACAGCTGGTTCGTGGAGCGCCGGGCGCTGCGGGACAACCTGGAACAAGCCCTCCTCAACTCTATGGGCACCAAGAGGGTGGGCATCGGTGGCATTGCCGGCGTCCCTGAGAAACCACCGCATCAGCAGCCACAGCAGCACCAAACCCTACAGCTGAACGGGATTCACAAAACAAGCACCAGTGTGGGTAATCTCAAAAGTCCTCTTCCACCTTTGCATGTCCTTTCCCTTCTTGCTCCCAGCGCTGTTGCGCCCTCCATCCCCAACTCAAACTCCTGCTCAGTGCCTCCAGACAGCCGATCCCTGGCGCTCCTCAAGGACGATTTTGCTCAAACGCGGTGGCCTTCCCCTGAGGAGTTAAGCCAGCTGGAAGGTCGAACAGGACTGGCGCGCTGGTTCACCGACACCCGGCAGGGCAGCAGCATGGACCTGAAAGAACTTTTTCACAACAATGGAATGAACGGAGGCCAGGGGCAACCTGCGCGTTCCCCCGACATCGCACCTTCCAACGTCATCCAGCGCTGCCAGGAAGGAGCTGTGACAAACACCAGCAGTAAGGTGTTGGAACTGGAGTTCGGCTGGCTGATGGAGCAGCGTTCCAACAGCCTGAGCAGTCAACAGCACGCTGAGCTCCAAGAACGGTTTGCTGGCAGGTACTTCAGTTAAAGTTAACTTTTTATGTTTATGGGTCACTGCATCGCGCTGTGGGTCACTGCATTCATTCATCAAACATGCTGTCCTCAACACTTAGATTGTACGGAAAGTAGAGTAGCTTAAACCTAACCCAGCTTGAGTTGCATCCATTACTACATGTGGTTAGCAGCACACACAGACTCATGTGCAGGGAGGGACGTTGAGGCACAGCTGAAGCACAGCGGAGAGGCCCAACTGCATCCACATTCCTCTCCAGGTGCTGCTTTTACGTCAGGAATTGTGTAATGAACTATTCTCACTTTGCTGTAGTGGCGCATTACATACGTGCACAGAAATTTCCACAATAGCCGGGCTGAAAATTTTCAAACAAAACTTGAAATGGTCTTTGTTTCAGAACTGACAGCCGGTTATATATAATATGAGTACTCTGCTGGCCTGTAGATCAGATCTGGATATTTAATCTAATTTAACCTCAGAGTCAAGTAAATTTATAATCATGTCAGACAAATACCAAATCTGTACCACCATACATCACCCCAATTTTTAGTTCAGTGGGTGTCTGCTGAAGTGTTCTGGTTGCTTCAGCAAAATTGTCTACCCACTGAAACTTTTCGGGCGACATCCAAAATTAATTTCTGCTTCCTCTCAATAGGCTTCAAATGTTATTTTCTAGTTGCCACATTAGCATTGTTTCAGAGACATTAACCCTACAAATATACGGGACTTTATTTATTCTTCCCTCCCGCCAAGCAACTCGGGACTTGTTTGGCCAGATAACACAGCCATTAGGTTGAGAAGCAATATCCACACAATAATTGGGAGAAGCCTTTTATTCTTCCCGCGAGTCAGCTCTGGGTTCGGGCTTGGTAAAATAAAAAAAATAAATAAGTGAAACGCCACGGCAAAGGCGCAAACCTGCACTCGCAGCACATTGAATTCCTTCTTGCTTCCTCTGAGTTCAGAATTGCTTTAAAACGCCGGTGCAGGAAAACGTCAATAGGATGCAGATTTGGCCTGAAGTGACGATTCTTTTTCATTCCTCAACGCTGAATAGGTTTCCGAAGCTTGTCATGTATGGGTGCCATCAGGATTGAATCGTTCATTTGCCAAGTCGATGTTCACTTTACATTTACGAGAACAAAATCATTTCGATGAGTTTTCCCTCATTCATCAGAAAAAATCCCACTCATGACCCTCTCATGGTAAGTGTGATTGAGAGCATTTACCTCAGCTTCTTAAATTAAAAAAAATGATTAACAGCTCCTTTGATGCTGAACAAGAAAAGAGGTTTTTGAAGTTATTTTTACTCTTCCTTATCTTGAACGCAGTTCTCTGGGTCTGATCTCAGAGCAACTTTAACCTCACAGTGTTTTTCCTTGTTTTCTTTTGTCGGCGATAAGAAGGTCTCAATTTAGAATTGGGGTTAGATTTGGAAGATGATGTCTGTACTTATTGTTAAGATTATTAATATTCCACCGCCAGTGTTGTGCTCTTAATTTCTCAAATACTTCTTACAACACAACAAAATGTGTGTAGGTATCTGTTACTTTTTTTAAGAAGGGAGAAAGCATTTAGGCTGCAAATTTTCTTCTAAATGAAACTGGATCCTGACAGGTTCAACAGTGACAGCTCAAATAGGGAGGTCGGAGGTCGAGTTAACACCAGTGTGTGGACGCAAGCTTAAATGAGTATATTATAGGATGCACAAATGATGGATCGTTGATTTATGTAGTGGTTTACAACAACGGGATAACAAATCTGCTTGTCCTCATGTTATGTTAAGATTAGCCTCAACATTATGACCAGCTGTCCAATACTAAGCAGATTCTCCTCATGCCAACAAAACAGCCCTGACCAGTCAGCGTGATGGTGGAAAAGAACCCAGGGGAGTCTGGACTCTCTGCTTGAATGTTAGTTATAGACTCTACGATTCCTGGGGTTTGTGGACTGAGCTTGCCCTCCAGAAGATGTGGGCTAATAGTTTCTGTTACCATGAGTGAGGGTAGGGATGCTCTGCAAGTTTCTTATACCATGTATGTATTTATAGTCAATATAGTAATTGCAGGACCCAAATACCTTTAATAAAATACCACAGGAGGCCGGTTCAGAGCTATTAACTTAATCTTTTATTATGAACAAACACATCTAATTATTTTAAACAAAGATTGTCTGTAAAACTGTGTAAGAGGCCCCTCGCTCCTGTCCAAACAGAGCAGGGAGCCACTAATAGAGCTGCTCCATAGCACCGCTGATGGCACATAAACACATTAACTTGCATGCGGGGCTCATCACCGACACCCAGCAGCGATTCAGTGGCCGGATGTGGGTCAGTAAGTGAATCTGATGACCCCCACTGTACAGCAGGCTTGCTTTCTAATGCGACTGTAACTCTGCTGGTTAAACTGGTCAAACAGACTGAGGCAGCAGAGCGCGGCGGAGCTGAAGAACGGGGGGCAGAACGGAGGCGCGCGGGAGGTGTTCGGGAGCTGGCTGGACGACGGACATCTGAGGAGAGGACCGGAGCTGCTCCTGGACCGGGAGAGGAAGATGGCGGAGGACGCGTCAGGACGTCTGACTGGATAAACGGTGCGTGGAGCCTCATTATCCACCTCTGACGTTGCCCGCATCCGTCAGGTCTGGATTTGTGATGACAGCGGTCTATAAAACAAGAGAAAAATAATAATCTTTTGAAATCTTATTTGATAAAATGTTGGAGACCTTGAGTTCAACAGGAAAATATTTTGTTCCATTGCATTTAATTAAACCTCTGTCCTCACTGCATTCACGCACTATTGAAAGTAGAAGTTATTTCTGAGTAAGGACATACATAGTAGAGAACTATAATTCCATAGGTGGGTCTACTATAAACAAACAATGATGATTTTTAAGCTTCTTTCAGTCATTTGATATTAAATTACATTTTTAGAGAGGCATCTCTGATTCATTCTTTAGGAAGACAAGGTTCCCCTGTAGAATTTTCCAGTTTTCCTCTCCCCAATACGTCTTTGTGGTCTGATCATTGGGAGCGTGGCTCAAAGTTTTTCTGTTATTGTTCATCGTGACCTTTCACGGAACGGTATTTGCCCGAAAAATATCAGAGTTGATTAACAGTATCTTAGCAAATGTTTGGTATAGACGATAACTTATATTGATTGTTCCCTCTGTGGTCGCCTTATAAAAGAAAGCCACCCATCAGTTAAACAGAAATATTTGCTTTCCGGTGGAGTGTCACAACAACGCTGCATTTCGATAAGGAAACAGATATTTGCTCTAATATATATTCATCAGCATGTGTTTAACTCCGCCTGTCTTTTTTTTTTTCGTGCCCAGTGGCCTTTTTGAGCTTTTTAATCTGAAAACGGCGGCTTTGAAATGAGCCGAAAGGCTCGGCGGCGTTTGTGCAGCTGACAGGCGCTGCTGGTTCAGCCGGCAGTTCTCTGTGGGCCCTTCACTAGCAAAAAACATCTTCTCACTCTTGTCACACTGTGTTCACGTCATAATTTCAGGCAGTGTTAAAAGGGGAAAAAAAGGCTTGATGTCTACAGACTGTTCTGTGTAACTGAAAACAGGACTGTAGGTTATTCCCCCTCAGAACTGCTTTTACTAAAGGAAACCTCCCTGGTCCCCGGTGCTCCCTTTTACCTCGATCCCAGGCAACGAACACACAAACTGTCTGTGTCTGCAGCTCCTCCGTTCCAAACAGTAAGTTCAGGAACATTTTAGGGGGCTGGGATGCATTTTTTGGAGGCCGAAAATAGCAGCAGACCCCCTGGTGTGGCTAAGCTTGATAGATAAAAGGCTCCGCCTAGGGCAAAGAGTGATGACAGAGCCTGCTTCTTGTTCCCTCAACTGTCTGTTCTGACAGAAGATTGAATGTCTTAATGTCTCTACATGGCTTTTGCTTATTAAAATAGAATCTGTTCAGACGATACCCTCAATACAAACATCAGTTTTTTTTTTTTAAAAAAGGGTGAAGACTGAACTTCTCTCACTGTCACTTTTGAAAGACTGTCACTCCTTAAGGACGCCTTCAAAAATCAGGACTTGACAGATAAAATCAATAATCAATATGCAGTGTTTTGAATAAACCAACAAAAAGTTAAGATTTCCAAACCGTGCGCCTGCTGTCAGTGATGTTTTAGAAGGATTTCAGATCATCGTCCCTCCCTCTGCTCAGTTTAGAAATACTTTTTATTTTTCCCCCACAGGGAACAACTTCAGGGAAGTTGCTTTGCTGGCATAAAAACACAAAACTACAACAAACAGATTCTTCCCACACTTATTAAATGGCTGTTCACATTGAACAGAACATTGAAACCAGCAGCCTTAAACATAGTTTATGAGCTCCGTCATGTTCTGCAGGGACGCAGCTCCGTGGCCACAGAAGCACAGCTCTCTCTGCTCTTTTATTTTCGTGGGAAAACAGAACAGCAACTGCACTTTACGTGTTAACAATCCGGCACTACTTTAGGTTGCTACAAAGTTTGGATGAGGAGGAAAAAGATGTCCTCAAAGACTGAAGAAAGCATGATGATGATGATGATCCGAGTAGTTTTTGAACTCATGATCCCCATGGTAAAGTAAAAATCTCCTGATGCAGTAGCACACATTCTGGACCAAACTTGAATCTCCCGTCCTGCTTTGTGAACCTCCGAGGACTCCTTAAGGTTTTTACTAAAAATTCTCTGAGCAAAAGATAGAACCTGAGGACACATAGGGCATCTATTTAGTAAATCACCTGTCACGGAGAGGCTCCGCCCTCTGTTATGTTTCACGTCTAATGTTGTGTTTAATACAGTTGAGGCAGGTGAGTCATTTTTGTATGCATACCAGTGTTAAATGGAGGCTTTCGTTGGTCCTCATTAGGGCAAAAGACTTTCCACCTCTCTGCACCATCTGAACAAAACCAACATCATTGTGCATTTTTTCTTTTTCTTTCTTTTTTTTTTTTTAACAGAAATAATTGGATTCAGTCTGTAATGTCCAACGCGTTTAAGCTTCAAACAAACTGTCACTTCTCTCGGCTCTTTTCACCATCAGCGGTAAAGCGAAACAAGTGGATGAAAAAACTTCCCGTTATGCTCGATTTATCAGCAGAGCTGGGGGAGGTGTTGTGTTGGTTGTGATTCAGTTTGCGAGCGGGATGATAAATTAACATGAGCCGCTATCTAAACTCGGGCAGTTTGTGAATGCGCCCGCTCAGTTCAGGTGCCAGTTATTATTGGAAGCTATAGACCGCTTTCTAAATCAGTTTGGCTCCCAGATTACTGACTGTACCAGGTGAATGCTGGAATCCACCAAAGGCTGCTGGGGGAAAATTCATTCCAGATAGAAGCCGCGCACACACTCTGAAACGTGTCCACGTGCGCTTCCTGTAACACGTAAACGTGTCCAAAAAGAGCTTTTCCAACTCTTCCAGACATCCTCAAAGTTCCACAGAATCATAGCATAATTATTTAATTAAACATTATTAAAAATTGGGGGGGGGTTGAGGGGGAGGGACTGATTATGTGGGAGAGTTTTAGTCACATTAACTCAGACTGATGAATTATTTTTTCATATTTTATCTACTAAATCATTAACTCTCAACCTCTTTTATCGCCAGCTAATTGCAGAAATTACCATTTTGTCCTCACGGTCTTATTCAGCCCAACATTAATTTCATATCGGTGGATTTGTGTGTAAGTGGAGGGCGTAGAAGTCAGTTTTGGCCACGATGGACCTGCTGCTTTGAAAAATCTTTTATCAGTGATACAAACTGAGACTTTGCAGAAAACTGGTGCCATTTTGTTGCCCTCTCATCTGACAGTTTTTAGGAACAGCGGTCAGTATCCGCTGCTGACCATTCTGAGCCTGAACTATCCTGGGGGGAGACTAATGACAAGGAGGTCTGCAAGGCTGGACTTTCTATGCGCTAAGATGGAATTTGAATTCAATTTAAGCTATTAAAGGAAGAGGGTCGAGCATAATTGTCATCACATGGGTGGTGCCAATAAGCGGATTGTTTGGACACCAGGCAGAAAATATAATAGAAAAAGAAAGGTATTAGTTCAGCTTTGATGCATGTACTGGTTTTTGAGCATCATTTAGGGACCAAATGCCCCTGTTTAATGTTGTGCAGGTGAAAGAAAGCCGCTCAGGAGACCTGCTTGTTGTGATTAAAAGGCCAATTCTGGTTTGTTTTCCTTTCCTGCCAGCATCTAGTCCAGTAGCACCTGATCCCAATCCCAGTGCAACGCTGGAGTGTGAATCATCGAACGAACGTGCAGCCACTTATGGCCACAGGACGCATCAGCTGCAAAGCTCCAATCTGTTGGCATTTATATTAGGTCCCTTAATAGCACCATATCAGCACAAAGCTGCAATTTAAAAGCATTAGAAGTTTCCTTATCTTGCTGAATGACATGGAAATTATCCCAAGGGTTTAAATAGGGAATCGGGATAGAGAAGACCAGTTGTCCGTATTCAAGCTCTGAACCAGAGAATATCTATGCCAAAACCTGAAAGTAGGAGCAATTCCTTAAAAGAAAGGGTGAAAGAGAAACAGGTTCTCTTACTTTTTCCTTTTTTCTGTATAGCCATGCTTTTATCTTTGTTTCCAATGCTGTGATTAAAGCTAACTAATTATATTACGACCACTCAGTCCTGCAAGATTTGCGTCAGAACCTGAGAGAAAAAGGGGTTGGATGGCAAATTTCTGTGGTCCCTAGGGCTCAAATCAATATCAATGATTTGGCTTGAATTTATTGGTCAATAAAGGAAATTACAGGTTATCAAAGACCCTTTTTTCTGTCTGAAACAGACGTGTAGTTCCCTCAGAGTTGACAGATTTAAAAGATGGGTGTCATAAGCATATGAATGCATGTCATGTGTTTATTTCACTCTATTCCAGAATCAGTCTCAGGTATTTTGATCTTTTTGCTCCTGAGCTGTTTAGTTCCTAGCAAACAGAGTTGAAACAGAGCTGGAGGGAGCAGAGTTTGATGGCCGAGGAGCCGAAACAGTTGTGGATTTCATGTCTATCCACACACAATATGTAACCCTGCCACTCTGGATCTTAATGTTCCAGCGGAAGGAACGGAAACAATTTAAAAGAAATCTGTTTGCATGGGAAAAACAAATATTGCTAATAATCATTATGAAATAAGATGCAGGGCTCAGTTTGTACATTTAGAATTTTTTTGGAAACGCCAGAAGAGATGATGAGGAATAATGATGTTAGAGAGTCGCAGCGATTTATGGTGAAGATTCCTGTAGTGAAAATTGATGCGGTACGATGTCCCCAGCTTATCTTTGTGTGCGTGAGTGTCCCATCCATTGTCCTGTCTCACTAATCACAGCAGCCTGGGGCTTCATTTAATCAGCAGAGCGCAGCACAGCCCATAATAACTTATCAACAGCATAGCTTATAGATGAAGGCTTAATTGCCAAAATGCTGCAGTGCTTCTCCGTCCCTGTTATCATTATAAAGTAAAACAGAGAGGCTGCCGGTACCAAAATTACCTTTTTCTTTGTATATTAAGATTAAAAGTCATTATTTTAGAATAAATTTGGGCGAGTACTTTTATTAGAAAGGGAGACTTTTTAAAGTGTTCTTTCCAGTGATGGCAGATTTAAAATGAGATTCAATTTTTAGGTCCCTAATCACCCAAAGCTACCAACAGTCCCGGTGTTAATTAAATCTGTATTATTTTCTGCTGGGTCCTGAACCACACAGTCAAAGTAGTGCATTCAAACGGCCGAAAGATAATAAGTTTCTTTAAAAGTAAAAGTGCAGCGAGAACCCCTTCAAAGGATTCACAGAGCTAGAAATTGGGAATTTGATGCACTTTAATAAAAGAAGCTGTTCAGAATGTTTTATTCTGATGTGAGGCCCGGTGTCAGACAGCACTGATCGTGCTTTTTATGGATGTCGCTGATTCAAATCAGCTCACTGTTTCGTGAGGAAACTGTCCAACAGTCTCGTCCTGGAGGTGCAGAAGGAACTGGTACCAGAACCTGAAAAAACTATTCAATTTTGTTATTTATTGTTCAATGAAATTTAACAACGGATCAGAAGCGGTATCAGTCAGCCTCTCCCCGGTTGGTGCGTGGAGGCCTGATGAAGACGGCGGCTGTATTTTGATGCATAACTTAGTCACTTTCTCTTACTTTTAAAAAGAAAATATGATGATACGATGATCTGAAATCCTTCTAAAAAATCACTAATAACATGTAATTTCTTTTTAAATATATTTTTAACAATGCAAGAAAAGGTTATTAATCTTGATGGATTGCATTTCTGCTATAATTCCATTAATTAGTGACTAATCATGCCAGGATCTTTAAAGGAGCCGTAATCAAACAAAGATTGATATCGTCCAATTTTAAAACATGTTTTTTTTAGAACAAAACATCATCGATTTGTACATTTTAATGAACCGATGACTTGCATTTCTGCCATAATTCTATTATTTAGTGACCAATCATGCCAGGATCTTTAAAAAAGCCAGAATAAAACAAAGGTTGATATGGAAGATGTCAAGATGTATGACATTTATATATGGTTATATACACATATATAACCATTCAACCTATCAAATACTTAGTTTGTAACAAAGGCCCACCTTTGTGTTTTTGTGTGTCACTATTCATTGTCCTGTTTTTTTAATCTCAGTGACCTTGTTAAATAACTTCCACAAAAAAAAAAAAAAACTAAAAAAACCCACATTTTTAAACACTCTTTGGTGGATTAGGAGGGTGAGCGCCGACTGGTCAGGTGTGCAGTCCATGAGAAAGCCTCTATTTCACAACATGTCCCAATTCCTTGCAACTCCGCATCACTGGCTCCTGGCTCAACAATAGCTTTTTAATCCCCCTCCACTCTGATTTTTGCTGCTGTTCGTTTGCTTGGTTTTAGATTGTTTGTCCTTGTTTTTTTTTGTTTTGTTTTTTTTATTTCATTTTTTCGGGGAGGTGGGGGGGTTGTGAGTTCTTGTCGGTCTGACATTTCTATTGTGTTCCGAAATATCTGACAGTCTTTAATCCGCCTCCCCCCTCTCCCCCCCTCCACTCCTCTCCCTCTGTCCATTTTAGGTGCGAATAGGATTTGCCGCCATCGTCACCGTCGCTGCTGCTGGAAAACATACAGGAGGAAAGAAAATGAAGAATGGAACAACAAGAAAAGAAGAGTTTTTTAATTAACAGATATTGTATTTTTTTTTTTCCTCTCTTTTTTTTACCAATTTTTATCTATTGATTGTCGCATCCAAGGTCACGCACAGCATCCTCGCCCGTCATGTTGTCGGTAATCTTGTCAGCGTTCGCGGCACGAGGCAGCCCCTGCTTAGATGTGAGGCACGCAACAAAAGGATGAGTTTAACTAAGAAAAGGCCTCGGAGGTGACAGGTTTTTCTCTTTTTGGAGCGGAGCAAACACGCACCCACGTTGAAATCCGACGAGCACAAAGAGAAATTCGGGGCTAGGGCCTCTCAGATAATTACAGCTTGGCTCCCTTGCAGACGATTTTTTGGGATTTCTGCGTCGGCTCTCGCGGCGACGCGAGTTTTAAAGCAGTTTCCGAGCAAAAAGTAGCTGCGAGGCGTCAGCCGCGTGTGCGGAGGCTCGGCTCGGCCCGAAAAACACCAGCACAGATGTGGCTCAGAAATGAGCCGATTTGTAAATTGCTGTAAACAATCTTAGCGATCACCTCCGTTGTGCTGACACCTCCGTCTGAGGTGTTAAACGCTTTACTGTAGAAGTGCTTTACTTTAAAAAACTCTCAAACTCCCATGAAAATCTCAGTCTCATATACCTTTCTCTGGGTGGTAATAGTTCTTGATAGCTTTGATTTCATAAGGCCAAACGCAAAAAGTCTAAAAATGTCCTTAAACCACCTCCATTCACCTTTCTCAAGTAAATTAGACTCTGATCTCTTCTGTCGGTGACTATAGATTGTTGTTAAATATGTGTAGCCCCTAAACTGAGCCTTAAATTGATACTTTACATTTTTCTACCTACCGAGTGATTTTGCACTGCATGGCGCGTGCGTCTGCGATCGTCCCAAAAAATTGAGTTTGATGAGTCATCTCCCAGCTTTTGTGGCTCCAATCACGCCACAAAACCCTTCTTCTCTCTTCTGTTAGAGAAACCCCAAAAGGCCTTTAACCCAAAAGCTCCATCGACTCCATTTTGTCCTCAAAATAAAGACTTTTGTAACTCAAACTTTTAATTTTAGACGTGGAAAAAAGCCACTTGTAAATTGGATCTTGTTGGATTTTCTCTCTGAAGTGTTGAAATGCCTGCCTTTCCCTTCAATCAGAGGCTCTCCGAGTCTCCCAAAGTGCATTCTTACGAGCATCCCTGCACCACACCAGTTGGACAGCGTGTTAACTCTCAGTCACTTTAAACGAAAATGGTGCATTTACATTCCCTGTTTGTATCAGCATTTGCTATTTGCACATGAAAACGTCTCCAAACGTTAGCGATTCCTTAATCCCCCCCCAAAACCGGCGAGGTTCATTCGCTCGGCTCGCCCGGTTGGACCCAAACATGGCGCCTTCCTTCTCTCCCTTTGAGAACTCCAGCGGCTCCTTTCGGCGGCTGTCTAAAAAGCGGTTTTGACATCTTTCTAAACTTCTTCCACTAAAGGAATGAGGGCTCATGCCCGAACAACCCGCATCCCTTTACGTTTGCGGTAGAGCTAAACGATCATCCGCACTTTACTGTATAAGCCTCTTAAAAAAGCCCCTCAGTCCTGGAATTTCTTTCCTTGAAGTCGTTTGGGAATTATCGGCGAGGAGGGGATTAGCGGGTCGTGAACTCGAGCGACGGATGAAACACCTGACGTGTCTGAGGTGATGTTGTGTGTGACCTGCGTTGCCATGGAGATCTGAGGATGGGGAGAGAGGCGAGCCGGAGTACTGAATGTGTGCCTGCAGCAGTAGCGTGACTGTACACACCGACCGATCAACAGACAGGGTGGATTCAAAACAAACAAACAAACAAGAATAAAAAAATCAACAACAACAACAACAACGCCGAGTGCCAAAGCTGGGATCTGCTGCATTCTCACTACACTTTTGAAAAAAAGGGTTCTTCTTCTTCTTGTAAATAGGATATATATGTTTGTTTTGTTTTCCTGTATTGATACAGATTTGTAAAATTTTGCGGAAAAATTTTGTTACATTTTGTAAAATGGGAGCAATTCGTCCCCCCTCCCCCAGAACCCTCCTTTTTTCCCCCTTTTTTTTTCTTTCTATTTTTAAACTCTCTCTCGGCTCGTTTACCATTTATTTTTTTGTTTGTTTGTTTGTTTGTTTGATTTTTGTTGACGGACTTTTAAACAAACATGGTGCCAGCAGTGGTATGCCTGCGCGTGCAGCATATTGTTTTCTTTCTTATCCCATCTCTCCTTCTCCTCTTTTTGTACTGAACCTGAGTGGAACCACTACAAAAAAAGAAAAAAGAAAAAAACAGACCATTTGGCAATACTTCAGTCACTTCTTCTTCAACTAACCGGCACTGGACTTCCGCCCGCCACTTCCCTGCTGAGAGGAGAGGAGAGGTGGAAGGAGGGAGGAAGAGGGGGGACTTCGCTTCACATCAAATCAGATTTAAAGAAAAAACACACATAAAAAGCACCTTTGGACATTTTTTTTCTTTTTCTTTTCTTTTTTTTCTGTTTTTTTTTTACTGTGCTGAAGTGAAGTCAAGTGCTATTATTATATTATTATATTATTATTATTGTAGCCACTCTGTCTGGAACCCTTTTTTGAAGAAAACAAAAGGAAAAAAAAAACAAACAAAAAAAAAAAGAAAGAAACTTAAGCCAATCTGCACTTCTCGTTCCAACGGACATGCTTGTATGACCAAGTGGCTGTCGTTGATATTCGCTGAAAACCGATAAGGAACAAACCTGACACACAACAACAAAGCAGTTAAACTGTCAAAATGGTGGCAAACACAGAAGGATTCACTGGTATCCAACACGCAACACACAAACTCCACAGGAAACAAGCCCACAATTCAGAATCATGCTGCCTGAATCGTACTTTGATCTTTTTCTTTTTGTGTCTCTCCTCCTTGCTCTTTCACTTTCTCTTCCTTTTCACCGTTTTCGTCACACTTTTGTCTTCTTATTCCCTTTCTTCTCTGTTTCTCCTTTTGTTTTGCTTTTTCTCTCTCTTTGTCGTCCCGCACACCATCATACACACCTGTAATAAGCAAAATTAAACAAAAAAAAAGATAAATAGCCTTTTATTCGATGCATAACTACATGTTGGCTTGGTAGGCTTAGTTGAATCTAGTTCCATTCCGACAAAAAAAAAAAAAAAGAATAATAGTAAAAACAGAATATGAGCTTCTTTATGTATTGCTTCTGCCGCTGTAGTGTTCTGGTCAGATTTAAAGATGATAAGACTACATATATCTGAAATACTGTATTTACAAATGCAAACCAGGGCTGGCCTCAACGAGAGGGAAGGGTTTTCAACTCCGTCCACTGAGCCGTTGCTCAATGGCAGTCTGAGGCTCGTTGCAAAGCTGCAGCTGCTCGCGTGCGTCGATAAAGTGCTTTTTTTTATGTTGATTCAAGTGTTTGTAGTTTTATAAACTTGAGCATCACCGGAGCTCCTCTCTGCCGGAACCTGAGCAAAGACAGAGCCTCCCGGTCGATGCACAGCCTTAGAAAGCATTAAAAGAGAGTTTTATTTTTGCAGGTGCATAGTTTTAATTGAGTATTTTTCTGAGGAATGATTGAATGTATTTGCTTTGAGCAGTCGTGGAACTGTTGTGGGTTAACTGTCTGAATGTGCAAAGACAAAAGAAAAAAAAAACTTTTACTTAACGTGAAACTTTGAGAAATGTGTCCCCGAAAAAATGTAAAGAAACAAAATCAGTGCAAATGGATTCTCTGGAAATTCATCAACATTCAGCTGGAGAAAAAAAGATATTTCCCAAAGTAGAGAAAGGATGGACTCTCTCACAACCGTCTTCATGACTATTGTAGAACAAAAAACAGTTTTCAGACTCTTGGAAAGATAATTGAGCGTATTAGCAATGATGGTGGTGCCACTGTGCTTTAGTAAGAGCTTTACATCATCCTTTTAGAGCGTAAATGTTGTTTTCAAGGCGAGAAGTCAAAAACAGGAAGGGGAAAAGTCGGTTTTTGACTTCTGGCTGACGATTTGGCTGACTACCCAGTTTGTTGGTGTGCTCGAGTCCTTCCTTTGTTGCATTTAAACTTGCTGTTTATTCATGCTGAAATGTGTATTTGGGTGCACCTGACTTCCCCAAAAAGCCTTTATGCAATTAACGAGTACCTATAACCAGCATAATTCAGACTTCCGGGCATGATGGTTGAACCGCTTTACAAACCCTGAAGTTTGCTCTGATGGCACATATACGCCTGTTTTTTCCCCCTAAAATCGGAAGAATTACTTGTTTCAAAACTAAGAATTACAGAATAATGTTTTCTTTGCTGTAGGATTGTTCTATTTTTCTCATATTCAAACATCAGAAATGTTGATATTACATAACTACAAACAGTTATTTAGAACTTAAACTTTCCATTTTAGCTTGACATCCTGGACTCTCCCCAAGTGTCCATGTTGGCAAAGTCTTTGGTTTAAAGGTAAAAAAAATGTCTAATTCACCATTTGTCGTCAAATCAGCTTTCGTGTTTTCAATCTGTCCCCAGTTCTGAGCTGTTTTTAGCTGTAAAACATTGTGTCTGAAATCGTCCACTTCATTTTGGAGACAATCAAAACGTGAGAGTAAGTATTTGACAAGTGGATAGCAGATCCCACCCAAAGCTTTTAGACTCCTTCATGTCATATTAACAAAGAAATAGACCTTTTTTTTTCATGCAACAAAACAGAGGTAAAAAGATCACATCAAACTTCTGGATTCTTTTCTGGGGAAAGCAGGTGCTCCAAATGTCTTTGTTCGAGGGGAGTTGAGGCCAGCCCTGATTCATTATGGAGGTTCTGCTTCTTCTACTACTGCTACTATCAAACATCCAGTCCTGGGCACAAAAACAGGCCTGAACACTTTTTCCGAGTCCTCCTTAAAGATGTGTGAAACTTTAAACTTTGCATACTGTACCAGCATTTTTTGCATCGAGAACTCGAAATTGAGCACCAGCTTGCTTTTTGTCTCCTTCCAAACGCTCAGCAAAATGAGGTGGAGTTGACTCAGTTTTTGGTTTAAGGTGTCTTCAGAGTTTGCTCCGATAAAACAATAGCCATGATTATTTGTTTTCACATAGTTTGAAAGGTATTCGAGCTCTGTTTCTGTTGCCCAGGTCAGCAAAACAACCTGTTGATGTCTGCTGTATTTCAATAAAACACAGCCTTTTTTCAAAGGGTACACCTTGTGCTCCTCACTGTGTGTTTGTGACATCATGTTGAGCTGCATGCAAACCAGAGCCTCTCTCTCACACACACACACACACACACACACACACACGTACATTAGCCCTTCTTTGTTTCAATCCGACACTGAATGAGTCTCACTCTCCATTAGCTTGTTCGGTCTCACAGCGTTTGAAGCCAAAGACAAACAAACGAAAGGCTGCTTATGTGGTTAACCCTCGAAAGAACCTGATTCGAAATACTTTTCCACCCCGGTAAAATGTGGTGGTATTGTGTAGCCTGTGAGAATTGCATGCTGGCATTTTAACCAGGAAGATCTGGATCTGGTAATCCGTGTTCCATTGTGCTTTCCAACATGGGTTTTAGGTCTTAATTTGAGGGATTCTGCATGTTATTACACAACAGAGAGCCGCAATCTGTGATCACCACCGGGTATCCCGGGTCTGCGGCAGCTGAGCAAGCCCCAAATCATCATCCCACCACCACCCTACCTGACAGGGGCCGGTGGTGGACTTTAGCTTTTACCTAGAAGTCTGTAGTCTCAGTTGTTTGCACAGTCCGGCATCAGGATGGATCTCCCTGGGTCATCCATTCTTGGGAACATTATTAAAAGCCTTTAATATTTTCTATTTCTGAAAACTTGTACCCTGCACAGATCGATGGAGCAGCTCATATAGTTTCTGCTGGCCCATCTGAAGGCTGCAGGCCGGAGAACCATCGAAAACCGCTCCAGTGGAGGGGTTGCGTTCCGACGTGTTGACGTGTTCCCCGCCGTCAAACCTCAGCCCTTTAGTGAATTTGCTTTCCCATGTTCCACATTGCATCCATGTCAAACACAAAAGCCATTAAAGGCTTACAGACTTAGAGCAGGATTAATGCTTCGAGCCTCGTGTTGCATTCGGAAACCACACGTCTCCCCACATCTTTCGGATTTCTGAGCGTTTGTGCCCCTTTTGTTGTCGGTAACTCCCAGAAAACCACAGAATCTAACATCTGCCCTTACTTCTTTCATCACTCGGCCGTTTGTTTCACCTTCCTGTGAGAAACCCTGTCGTTGAGGATTGTGCGTTTTCGTCCTAGTTTGATATATTTAGAGCTGTCTGTGAGGGAGGTTCGACCCTGAGCTGAGAGCGCAGCGTACCTGGAGGGGCATGTCCCTGTCTGGCTGATTGTTGGAGGTCAGCGTCACATCAGTGAGGAACAAGAAGCTGAGAAATTAAACTTGAGGGGCTGAGCTGCGTGTCAGGCCGTGGTCGGCTTGCATGCAAATCAGATATGTCTCTCAGATCTCATTTAAATAACAAATGACACCAGATTTGTCTGTCTGAGCTCGACTGGCCGACCTTTTGTGGCTGTGATGGACCAACAACAAATAAAATACTCATAAAAAAAATGCGGTTGTGCCGGTATGGGGGATTTCCAACAGAGGTTTAGTTTCAGTTTTGCTCTCCACATGCTCTTATACAGATCGGGGTAGAGTCTCACTGGTCACTGAATCTCCCTGTGACACAAGTAAAGCTTATTCTCTTGCTATTGGTGTATTTTTTGGGGGTTATTTTCACACACTACCACAGTTTTGGTTAATCTTGCAGGATGTCTTTTTTTAATCATTTGATTTTCAGGTGTTTGTATCTCTTATATCAGAAAATCTGCTTAAGGCTCGTTTTTGTGTCTCTTTGCAGTCTTTTTATTTTCCTTTTAGTCATTTTTTGTGTCCTGTAGATTCAATTAATTTGATCCTTGCCATCTCACAAATCTTTCAGTGTTGTTTGGTCCTATTTTCGATTGCCACCAAACCTTTGGAACGACAACATTGTGCAGTTACTGTATGGAAGCGCGGCAGAAACCTGATTAAACCATCATTACCTTGAACCTCCGCTTCAGTCTAGACTAAAGTAAAGAGGCTGATTTCCACAATGGATGCTCAGGGCCTCCTCCGACTTCACGCGCTTGAGTCTTTGAGATCCGAAAGAAAAGGGAGCACAATGGTGGCTGAGAGCCGAGAGAGGTCAGTCGATTGAAGACTAAATGAAAAACTTTCTGGGCCGGGAGAGTGTTGCTGCAGGATGCAGCTGTTGAGAACGAGCGGAGCACCCCGCGCCCGTTTAGCCGTTTCCACTCGGCTCATTCTGGATGTGGTGCACGTCGCCCTGCCCATCCCAGGCAAGCTGTAATATCTGGCCGGTATTCTCAAAGGATATCGCGGTGCTGGTGTTAATTTAAGTTTAGCTCTGTCTTTGGAATAACAATGAGAGTGAAGGGGGTTGTAAAAAAAAAAAAAAAAAAAGAATTAAAACTTAATAAGAATAAAGGTGAGGAGCAGCGCTTTGGTCTGATAGCAGCACAGGGTGGATTGAAAGTGCTCGTTGTATGTAAGCGCGCGGGCTTCTGATGGTGTGTGTATCTAAATATTCATATGACATGTTTTGGTTTGGG